ATATATATATATATATAAGTATAATGTATAAGTATACTCTCTCTTATATATGTATAATATATGTATAAGTATATATAAGTATACTCTCTCTTATATATGTATAATATATGTGTGTATATATAAGTTTATATGTGTGTGTGTTTTTATGTATAATACAATTTGTTTATGTAATTACTATAAGTATTTACAATTTGTTTATGTATAATATATGTATATGTGTGTCAGTGTGTGTGTGTATATATATACATATACTTTATATTGAATGACATGAATACTTTGGGCTACTTAGTATATAAGTATATATAAATATAAGTATATTCTCTCTTATATATGTTTATCTCTTATATAATTATATATATGTATAAGTATGCTCTCTCTTATATATGTGTACAGTGTATACTCTCTCTTATATATATATTTATACTCTCTCTCTTAGTATATAAGTATACTTATATATACACATATATTATACATATATAAGTATATTTATATATATATACACACATATATATATAGATATATTTATATATATATATATATACACATATATAAACATAAACTTATATGTACATATATAAGTATATTTATATAATAGTATAAATACATATAAGAGTATAAATATATATATTTATATATCTATACATATATATAAACATAAACTTATATGTACATATATAATTATATTTATATAAGAGTATAAATATATATATACTATTATATAAATATAATTTTTATGTAATTTTTATGTTTTATTATTTTTTTAAAATTTAAAAAAAATAAAAAAATCTGGGCAGAGCCCGGCCCGGTCGGGCCCGGGCCCGGGGTACCCGGGCTCCGGTTTTGCCCGGCCTGGGCCCGGCCGGCCCGGATGGACAGGCCTAGTTTACTTCTCCTTCCATCTTTGAAATTTATTTTTTCAGTGTAATTTCATTTAATATTATGTAGTTGTTAATTTAAGTGAAAATTTTGAAATTTTATTGGATTTTCCCCCTTTCCAATGAATTTTCCCAAAAAATCCAATTAAAAGTGATGAATTAGGAATTTTCACTAAACAAATAAATTTTACAAAAGATTTCAAAAGTTTTCAAATAAGAAAATGAATTTTAGATATTTGTGAGAATTTTTGAAAATTAAAAAAAGTCTCTTCTTATTTTATTTTTTGTTTTCCTAAATTGTTTTGTAAAAGTATTTAAAATTAATGAAATGAATTTTTGGTTATTTTTTATGAAGTTTTGAAATGTTCAAAAAAACGTGAAAAATAAATGTATAAATAAATAAATAATTTTCACAATTTTGTTTTTGAATTTTGGTTCAAAATTTTTATTTTTTCAGTTTTTTTTTAATTTTGACATTTTAAAAAACGGGTATAATGGAAAAACACCCATTAATTAGAAAAAAATAGAATTTTAGAACTTTGCAAAGGAAATAAACAATAACGATATCTTAATACCCTGATATTCAAGTTTTTGCTTGCTCCTACTAATCAATTGGATATAGTCACCGCCCATTTATTTTGCAAAAAGTTTTATAAATCTCCTCTGAACCATTTGTTATAATAGTCAAGCACCCATAAATAGTAAAAATTGCTAACAAACTTCTTTAAAATCAATAATTTCAAGCAACGTTCTTAACAATCTAAAAATTATATACACCACCCGAAATTAAAAAAATTGCAAGCAACCACATTAAAATTTAAAACTACAAAAAAAACTAAAAATTTTAAAAATTGCAAAAGACCCTCTTGTACAACTACAAATTACAAATTGTCATTTGAATATTCTAAAAATTATAACCATCCTGAAAAAAGTTGAAAGTTATAAAAATGATACAAAAATCTAAAAAGTAGAAAAATATATTGAAATTTTGAAAAATTTCAACAACCCCCTAAAAAATCTGATATTATCAACAAAATCCTAAAAACTAAAAATACTAATAGTCTCATAACTGAAAAATCCAAAAATTATAAAAAACACTTTGAAACTATGAGAATTTTGAATAATCCCCTAAACAACCAAAAAATTTAGACAAATTAAAAAATTACAAACAAACACTCTAAAAATCTAAAAAATACAAAAACACCTCGACAAAACCCAAAAAATATCTTGAAAATCAAAAAAATTTAAATAGTCCCTTGAATAATATGTAATTACGTACGTCACGCTAAAAAGTTAGAAATTACTAACAAACCCCTAAAAATCAGAAGGTACAGAAAACACCCTAAAAATATAAAAAAATTATAGAGAACACCGTAAAATTAGAAATTTTTGAATACTCCCTCAAAAAATTTGTAATTATAGAAAACATCCTAAAAATTCAAAATTACAAACATTCCCGCAAGAATTTGGAAATTATCAAAAGCATCTTGAAAATCTAAAATATTCAATCAGCCTGTTGAACAATCTAAAATGGCAAACAAGCATTCACTGCTAAAAAATGAGGCATCCTAGACGGAAAATTCCACCTATGATACCCAGAATTCCGTCTAGGATGCGTATTCTAGACGGAATTCCGTCTAGAATACGCGTCTAGTTTATTTCCGTCTAGTATGAAGTATTCTAGACGGAAATTCCGTCTAGAATACATCCTAGACGGAATATTCTAGACGGAATTCAATTCCGTCTAGAATACATCCTAGACGGATTATTCTAGACGGAATTTCCGTCTAGAATAATTTATCCTAGACGGAAAAAAATTCCGTCTAGAATAAGTATTCTAGACGGAAATTTCCGTCTAGAAATCTCATTCTAGACGGAATTTGATTTTTTAAATTTTTTTATTTTTTTAATTTTTAAAAAAGTATTCTAGACGGAATTTAAGCATCCTAGACGGAATTTCCGTCTAGGATACTATGCTACAGTATTTTTTTTTTTCAGAATCTACTTTGAGTGTATGTACACAATATTGAACAACAAAAAATTATATTCATATCCAACACAATCTAATTAATTCCAATATCAAACCAATATCAAATCCAATTATATTCAAATAATACATTCACCAAAATAGTAGAGAGATACATAAATTATTTACAAACGTTTACATAAATTATTTACAATGGTTATGACACTGCTAGGAAAGAATGTAATTCATCGATACATGATTAATAATCTATTTGAGTTCCTTTCTGTTCTTCCAGATTTGCTTAAAACCATCCAACTCTTTCCAGAATGCCTCATAATAGCCAGGAATGCTGCAAAATGAAAAACGGTTATGCATAAGGCAAGGAGTTATCGAAGTAGAGTATCATATTTCTTAGTACAAGCTATTATCTAAATCAATTAGTAGATGAATCCAGCAGGAACAATTTGAGGAATAGTGTTCCACCAAGAATAGTAAAATGGAGAGTTCCTGTACCCAAAACAATTAATATTCAAAGAGCGTGCGATGAGATACTTAATCTCAAATTGTGTGTATGCAGGAACAATTTTAGCTCCAGGGACAAGCATGGTAAGTATTAAGACCAAATGTGAAATATCAATTGCATGGTTCATAATGAGTTGAACAAGTTTCTCACCTCATACTTTTTCATCTCGGCTTCTATAGATGCCTGCTTTGAGTTCTCCCCATAAACTAATAGACGCCATTTCCTTCCGAGCCTTGTTTCACATTATAAAGAAAGAAATCATCACAACTCCCAAGTTTAAATCTTTCTTTCGGATCAAGGTATTAATAACTAACCTAGCTATCTTCTTCAATAAATTGGGCGAATTGGTTATTCTTTATCACAAAAATTAACCACGTTAAATGTTTCCAATTGAGAGGTCAGGTAAGAATCATGAAATGCAAGTTAATCCATCTTACCTTAGACTACTCAAAACTTGCAGCCTTTGATATAAATTTTGGATATAAATATTTGGGGGAAAATCACACGTAATAAAAAAGTTAAATTCAATCTTTGATGCAAATTTTTTGTACATTTTAGATGCTAGAGGTCGCTTACAGGACTCCAACAAAAACTATAAATTGACAGGTTTCTCAATGAAAATGATGCTGATGTAATGTATCTTAATGAAGCCTTAGAGCTTACCAAGTGACTCCAACAAAAACTCCAAGGCCTTGCCCTTGTCCCACTTAATAGTAGGACGAATCTCAAACACCTGACCAATTCAAAACACACAAAAAAAAAAGCCCCAAGTTAATAAGAACTCGAGTCACATTCAGAGTTATAATCTAGATGCCAAAAGAAAGTAATATCTAACGAAATGACAACCAATAAAAACTCTAGAGATATAGATAAGGGTACCTTTCTCCCTTGAGTTAGCTTCAACTTAGGATACTCCTTGAGCACTGACCTCACTTGATCAGCCAATGCACTCCATCTCTGAACCCCACAACGGAAGAAAAAAACCTTGAGCACTGACCTCACTTGATCAGCCAATGCACTCCATCTCTGAACCCCACAACGGAAGAAAAAAATGTAAATTTTCCATTTATGGCATAAAATATGAAGTTGGTGCTCAGAGATAAAAAGGAATAATCTATCGACCTTTTCATCAACACATCTGAAGTGGACAGATACACAGAACTTGTTGTTCTCCACTTTGGCCCCTGGGGTGCCCTTAGTTCCCTCCACTAGAGCCTTGTACACCTTCATAAAGAAGACCCAGCAACAATCAACTTTTAGTATTAATCCGGCCCATATGTAACAAACTTATACAAGACGGCACGATGCAAACAAAAATAAAAAAATTAAAAATTAAAAAAATAAATAAAGATACACCCACCTCATCAATCATGGGCAAGAATTCACTAGCTGGCTGAAAAAGCACTGCCTTCGCCTGTAAGCCACACAAATTCAAGAAAATTATATAGGTAATTGCATCAAAACAGAATTTCTTATAGAAAAAAGTTGGGAATTTCAGAGTTATAAGCTACCTTTGTTTTGGTATGCTTTCTACCTCTAGCAGGACCCTTGATATCCATGCCGTGGCTGCCGGCATGTTCGCGTGGAAAACTGTTTTCTTTTTCATTGATATGATTGTCATCTTGGGTTACAAAGATCCGGTCTTTTATAGATCCGGTTTACACTAAATCAAAGAAAAAAATAAAAAGTACAACTTTCCTCTTTTGTGAACAAATCGCAAGCTCCTGGGTTTGTGCGAGTTGCTTGCTTGGTGTGGGGTTCGTTTGCCGCACGCGGGTTAATCCGTGGACCACCGCGGATCTAGATCCGTCGGATCTAACGAGTATGCGGGTATTATTCCACGACAGGAATAATAGCCGGAGGATAATCCACTGCAAGGGAATAATTGCGCTCAGACTTTCGAGATCTAAGGACCAAGCTTAGATCGGAGTGTAGCTCTCGTGTAAGATCTCGGATCTGTTCTTTCTTACCTCTCGAAATTCCTGCTTTTCTCTGAGCGTGGATGGTCGCCGGCAGGATCCAGATCCGAATGTGCAAGTCTTCTGGTTCTTCAAGCCATCCAGTTCACTCTTCAATCCGCAGAATTTCGGCTCTTGAAAGCTTCGACCTCTGAAACTGAAGCATCTCTAGCTATTTTATAGGCTCTCAGGACAGTGGCTGCCAAAAAGGGAGATGTCGGCCACCTCTGGCCACTAGTCGGCCACCTCGGGCCACTGTCGGCACCTCTGGGTGGCGGCACTGTTGCCTAGCCACTTGGAGGTGGCTCGGCTCATGCCGAGCCACCCAAGGTGGCTCGGCCACCGAGCCACCCGAGGTGGCTCGGCCTTGGCCGAAGCCACCGAGGTGGCTCGGCCACGAGCCACCTCAGGGGGTCGGCTTGCCGAAGCCACTTGAGGTGGCTTCGGCCACCGGAGCAACCTCAAGGTGGCTCAGCTAAGGCGAGCCACTTGAGGTGGCTCGGCTTTGCCGACCCCCGGGCGGTGGTTTTCCGAACTTTTCGCAGTCGTTTTCTCGTTGTTCTCGTTTGTCCTGTTTCGGTTGACCTGAGACTCTGATTTGGCCAGTAAGTTGGATTCCTGATTTGCAGTAAATCCGCTTCTGAAGTTCGAGTCCGAAATTGTCTTGGATTCGATCGTGATTCGTCGAGTCGCTCTCGGTTGGATGACTCGTTTTGATTCCTCAACTCATTAGCTTATTCTTGCGCACGCGGGTGGGATTCATCTCCGTCGCTTCCGTGCCGATTCGCGTCGATCTCGTAACCTCGTTTGGCTGCGTCGGTTTGTTGCCGAGCTATCTAGGGGGACCTATAAGCATTTGATATGCCTACAGATACCCCCTCCAAAGTATTTCAGTCTCGTTCTCTTTATAGAAGAGTCTGGATACTTTGGATATGATGTCCCACCTTCAGTCCGGTATAACGGGACCTTGCGGAATGGCTTCTGTTCTTCGACTCGCTTCGAACTTCTCCAGGCTTTTCGGTGCTTTTTTCGAAAGTTTCTGCTAAGAGTTCCGGTGCTGCATTTATTGGTCTGACCGTTTGTCGGAATTTTCTGAACTTGAAGTCGATCCTTTTAGGCCTGACCAGTTGATTTGTGGCCGTCGAGTCTTTATGCACAACACGCGTTGTCCGGGTTGTTGTTGTTGAGTATATCCTTATGGAGTAAGATAGCAGTTTATACTCGTATACTTTTCGGAGTATGTTAAGAAGCAGGTTATACTCGTATACTTTTCGGAGTAAAAGGCAGTTTATACTCGCTTAACTCTTCGGAGTGAGTGATTCTCTCTTTGCAACGCATGATTGGCGTGACCCGAGGGTTACGCGTTGGACCGGCGTTGACCCTGGGGTTTTGACGTCGTACGTTGCACCTTTTGCTTGCAACGCGTTGACTGGCGTTGACCTAGGGGGGGGATTATGCGTTGACCGGCGTTAACTTAGGGTTTTCGAATTTTGCTCGCCAACGCGGTTGACTGCGCGTTGACCTAAGGTTACGCGTTGTCCGGCGTTGACCCAGGCGTTTTGACGTCGTACGTCTGACCTTTTGATGCGCAACGCGTGTGACTGGCGGTCGACCTAAAAGGTTACGCGTTTGTCTGCGCGTAGACCTTAGGGTTTTGAACGTCGTAGTGGGTGCTCAGCGTCACCAGCCAACTAAAGAGCTGATGCCGTCAGACTTTCGTATCTTATAGAGTTTTGGCAAATCCTCCAGAAGCTTCAACGCGGTTTTGATGCGCCTTGTCAGCCGACTACCGTGTTGAGTCGGGGCTAGCATGCGGATTGTTTAAGTCCGTTCCGCATGTGGACGTACGCTAAGAGATTAACCCTTAGTGCTACATATTTGAAATACGTAGATTTCGTCTTTCTCACGGGAATAGACTACCGGCCAACGCGTGTTAGGCGTTGACTTAGGATTTTTGGCGAATCCTCAGCCTTCAACGGATTTGACATGCTTTTATCGATTATCCGTTTTGAATCGGCTTTCATGCCGGATTGTCTTAATCCGTTCCGCATGTGACGTTATGCTAAAGGAATGAAAACTCCCCTTAAGACTTGATGCTACGACTTCGAATACGTAGACTTTCGTCTTTCTCACGGGGAAATGACTACCCGGCGACGCGTGTTAGGCGTTGACTTTAGGATTTTGGCTAAACCCCAAGCCTTTTAACGGATTTGATTAGCCCTTTACTGACTACGTTGAGCTCGGGCTAGCATGCGGTTTGACGAAAATCCGTTCCGCATGGTACACGTTGCTGCGAAGGGAATGAACTCTTTAGGACGTTCTTGTGCTACGATGTCGAATCATAGACTTCGCCATTTGTACGCGAATAGGGCTACCCGGCACACGTGTTAGCGCTGTTGAACTTAGCGATTTTTGGCTAACCCCCAGCTTCAACGGGTTTGATTAGCCGTTTACCGACTTACCGTTCTTGAGTCGGGCTAGCATGCGGATTGTCTAAATCCGTTCGCATGTAACGTTGCGCTAAAGGTAATGAACTCCTTAGTACTTATGCTATGATGTCGATACATAGACTTCGCCATTGTCTACGGTAATAGGGCTACCCGGCCAAGCACGGTTAGGCTGTTGACTTTATCCCTACTTAGGTTTCGGGATAGAAATACCCCAGACTTGTATTTGGTGTCTTTTCGTACGCGAGAGGACTAAACGGCGACGCCGTGTTAGGCGTCGGCATATCCGGTTGCTTAGGATTCAGGATGACATTCCCCATGCGTGTAAGGCATGGAGGGATTTGCTGTTATATAGGTAATGCTTTGCATCAGGAGGAGCACGGCAAGTGCGTGTGGTGAACCGGCCATCAATGGATCATTAGAAATGCTAACTCGACGAAGACGCACAGGATATCATTATAACGGTTCATACCACAGATCTACACGAGCTAGCGGCAGAGCTGTTCCGAATATCGAGAGCATTCTGCTAGATAATCCTGTTCAACTAATGACGCGTTTATTCTATGGCGCAATATAGTGATACTACTTGATTCCACCATCCGACACATACTGAACGAGCTCGCATCAGATAGATGCTTCTTATGTGCATCGGAGACCGTAGAAGAAGCACCTCACTGAAATGACTCTGCGGCAGGCGTGAGTGGGCATATTAGAGTGCGCCGAGAACCTTCATCACAAGATACCAGCTTCAGCACATTAGTAGTAATATTAGTCCAGGGTGTCTAACAAGGCGTATGATACGGAGCGCCTACTCCGACGCGACTTAGTATTTAATATACCGACTAGTCTTAGATCTCCAGAATTATGGAATACATGTAGAGGAATTTGATGCGCACATACAGGAGAAGGTTGGTACCGGATTGATCAGAAGCGGATTAGCTTACGTATTTAAATTATTTAGGTAAGATCCATTTCCATTGTCGTCCCGACGGTCCCTCCAATTGTCGCTCAAAGCGACCGCCGTGGATTATCGAGACCCGAGATAGCGTCCAAAAACAAGTAAAGCAACAAGCGCAAAGAGGAGAATCGTGCACATCGGCCGCACCGCTTTCCGACCATTAATTATCTAACTCTCCAAGTGAGAATTACCCTGAAATACTAGGGAGGAAGGGAAGAAAATTTTTTATTACTGTGCCACATCCAAAATGGTTAAGGATCTGAGTACGTAAGACACAAGTGCACATATGTACAAAACGGGCGTAGCATAATCTCGCTGATTACTCAAAGGGCGCCTAGCGAATTAACACTCCAACAATGGGAAGAGGTATTATCTGGAAAAAGAAACTAATACTTCATGATAAAGAACACTTCGAGCGACGCTATACTTCATTTAACTGCAGAGAGTACCTCTAGACAAGAGATTATATCTCACTTAAAACATTTCACTTAAAAGATGGTCAGACCCTTAAAATCATTTCGTTGACACCCAATAATCACCTCGCGAATCAGCTTGGCAATTGACAGTGATGTGTTCACCAAAAGTATCTAAATCTGTGCGCTCTTGACTACTTATTTACCAATTGGAACGATGGTGCCAACTTTCCAATCGGAAGAAAGTCGCCCGTAGGCGGGTTAATATCGTACAGAATTATATCAGGCACAATCGTGGGTCATCTTCTGGCTCAAAAAGGCATGAAAATATTCCCCCCTCAGTTGGTCATGAGAGTAGAGGCCAACGAAATAATGAGACATCACCACTGTCGAGGTGATAAACGAAGAACCCACTTCTCAGTTTAGATAACTCCTCCATAAAGGGCAATGTTCATCAAAATTTTCCAGATTCTCGGAGTAGGGACACGCCCACTTTCTGTTTCTTTCTATCGCTGGAAATAGAAATATAAAATTCTTCACTTTCGCAGAATCAGGCGAACTAGAATATAACAATTCTTCGCTTCCTTGTTTTGGGTTCGCTCACCCTAAAAGAAAGACCGGAAATAGAAATATAAAATTCTCCTTTCCCGTACCAACCTTTTCTAAGGAGAATCGATCAATCTAGGATTCATGCCTAGGAAGTTTTATCCGCAATCCTAAGGCAGGATAAGTCTGCGCAACACGCGGCCACACTTGCCGGTTTAGTCTTTTCCGCACAAAAAGACACCAGA